TATAAAGATTAAGTTAGCTCATGGTCTGTTTTACGGACAGATGTATCGGTTTACACTGCACCCCAATTTTAAATTAAAAATCGTATTATGAAAAGACTAAGAGAAAAAATAATATAAATAAAACATATTTCGGAAACTACAAGTATATTTAAAATGACGTAATATTATCAATAATATAGTCACTATTATTTAAACCTCACAATTTGCAAAAGAAAATCGTAAGAATTTTATTTTCGCATTTGTAGAAATCGTTTTTAGCTGATTTAATATAAAAACAAGCCACAAACCTACGAATTATGAGTTTGTACTTCTTTAATTAGCTAAACAGATCATGATTTTATTAGTATTAATAAAGTACAATAGTTAGTTTCCGAAAAATAAGGGGGTGTCACTTTAGGAGACCTATGTCAGTATCGGCGACTTTCTTCTATTAGATAAATTAAATAAAGAAACGTTATATTAATTAAAAATTTTTTTTAGAAATACTCTCTTATAATAAGCCATTTTAAATTTGTTTGGTTGCTATCGGTACTTAATTTTTTCAGAAAATTTGGATCAAATCTATATATATTTATGGTCTCAAATATGTTATTAATAACAGTGATTTTTATTGGGATTAAAACATCCCAGGTGATCGTTTACATAAAAAAAAAGTCAGATGACTATTCCCCGGTTAAAAAACACAATTCAAAAAGGAATCAAGCGATTACACATTTAAACATGGGAATCGAGATTAAGTACTACTGCGAAACACGTTTGTAAGCCATCACATTAGCCATAAACTTCTCGGGGTGGGCCGCCCGTAAACGAGGACTCTGTAGTGAAGTCCTCGCGAATACTTTGACCAAAACTTAAGTTTGACGAAGTTGTAGCCGATTCCGCCAGCGGTGACCCACGCCGTGCCGTTATCTTCATCATCGGAGAGCGAGTTGATACGTATGCACGTGATTTTCGCGTCAGTCGGTCCATAATCCGCCTCTACCTCCTAGTTACAATCGAGAATCCTTTGTGAGTGGATTAGGGTAACTGTTTATGAGTGGATCGAAATTCAAAAGAGGTCCATGTGCGATTAACAGGACCCTTTGTGATAATTGTAAACGCACTTGATAACCACCGATTCGATACGGTCTTCTAACCGCATATTCCCAAATTAGCTCGTCGTCGACGCCTTCTTGACACTCCCAGACTTCCTGTGTCGTCGCAAGCGAAACGGCGCAGAGAAGCAGAGAAGCTAAGAATCGAAACCGCATGTCTCCTCTCTCGGTCCTCGATTTCCTTCGACGATGAATGATGCGCCATGGAAAGAGAATATCAACCATTAACGAATAGAGATATCGAGGGAAAAAGTAAAAGAAAAAGAAAAAGAAAAAAAATGGAACATACAATAAAAGTGTGTTCTTCACTCTACACGATCCTTCCGGATATTTTCACGGGAAGACGACGGTTTATTGTCGAGCGACCGGCGGACTCCGGATAGCACTAACCGAACGAATGATATTAATAGCCGATATGTCGATACCCACCGAAAGTATCCCCTTCTGGAATACAATATTTACTCGTCGCTTTGTAGCCGTGGAGATTAGATACAATGTCGGTATCGTATATCCGCCTGCCCGTGTTGTTCTGAGAAGAGCGGATGGATAATCGACGAGCCTGGCCTGTTCTCTATTACGCAACTCACATCGAAATCGTATAACGTGTACATTATGGATCCTGGTGGCGAGTGCTTAAAAACGATCGAGTTTTGAAAATCACTAAGGAAATGAGTTACGCGTCTACGGATAAAAATATTTTGTTGAATTAATTACTGATATTCTGATGGATTTTTATCAAGGAATTTAATCAAGGAAATTCTGAACGTTAGTTATCTCAACTAGAATTCTAGTAGATTTAACTAAAATTCTGAATTGTGTTCATTTTCCATCAGAATTTCAATTAATTCAACCAAACATTTTTCTCCATGCACTGTTAAATTCGTAATGCCAAGTTATATCCAATTGGAATTATTTTTAATCATTTCTATTATTTACCATTACTACTCAATATGACGTTAATTTTACTTTTAAAACAATGGAGTTAAACAATTTAACTTAAGAAAATATGTTAAATTTGATTCCATTTTTTTTATTATTTATTGAGTACATATGGACGTTATTTACTTCGAAATTAATCACAGAAATAAATTGATTTACATTTTAATACTTATGAAAATTAATTAACTTAAGAGATTTGGTTACATTACATCTTTAACATCTAGCATTGTACGATCAAACGAGTTAAATCCATTTCTATTATTAGATAGATTGACTTTAATCTCAGTTTAACATACTTTTTATCTTGTTCTAGTTTTAAGAATC